CAGTGCCTGCCCCCCGCCGCATCCCGGCTCCCAACAAGCCCAGCCCCCATGCTTACCTGGTTCCGCAAGGCTGCCAGCACAAAATGGCTGCCAACCAAGGGGAACCCTCTTTTTTCCCCCCTTCAACAGAATTTTTTCCCAGTGGGTTTTTTTTGGGGGGGGGGAGATGTTCTGTATTTTTGTTTCAACCATCTAGCAACCTTAGCCTGGTGGCAGCAGCTGTCAGTGCAGAGATGGGTCTTCCAGTGCTAGGGTGGCACATAGGTGTGAGGTTATGGACATGTCCCCACATGGGTGTGTGCTGAGCCATGCAAGATGTGGTCGCACGTACATGCTCCTCTGCCCTGGGAAATGAGCTGATACACACACGGCTGAGACGTCCATCCATTCCCACATATGCAGCACCAACTTCAAGCACAGTTTGAAGCACGTGAAGGAAAAGCGGCAGACACGTTGATCTAAGCACTCTCTCCCCTTGGCAGCATCCACGCGACTCTCCTTGGGGCCTAGGCTGGGAGCTGAGGGCAGGATGTGCCCTGGGAAGTCTCACCTCCTACTCCCCTGGAGTTGCTCCAGACAGAATTAGGCGTGGCGAGTGCTCTGCTGATAACGGTGCACGCTAAGTGCCACGATTTCCTGAGGCCACAGAGCAATACATGAGCACAGGGGCATGGTTTCTTATACAAGGCAGTTGCATGTACAGGGAGAAGCAAATGGGCTCTGACCTACAGGAGAAGCGTGTTGTCCAGGGATGAGAAGCCTGGGTTCTCTTTCGGCTCTTACCGCCCCCTCGCCATGTGGATTTTAGGCTGGTGACTTCTCTCTGATTTGAAAGAGGGCTGGGGCTGGGGGAGGCTTGTCACAGCCGTTGCTTGGAGAGCGTAATCTTGTCACGGAGCGAGGCCGGGCGAGCGTGTGACTTGGGAACGTCTCGCCTTCCCTTCGTCTCGGGCTCTCGGAAAAGAGCGGGGGACCCGTCTTGGGCCCGTGTGTCTGTGCACAGCCCCCCTGCAGCCCATCCAGAGAGCCCTGCTCCATTTTAATGACCCTCCCCACGCATTAAGAATCCCTCCCTCGCAGCCCCTCCCAGCTCCCCATTCAGCCGCTAGTTAATTTATTTGAAGTTTTAATCTAATTATTAACTATTTTGAAGGCTAAGCAGCTTTCTCCAACAACGGGCCTGACAATGGCGGCTCTCCGTCGGGTGGACCGCATCCAATACCCCGGTGCACGATGATAATAGAAAGAGAGAGGGCAAGGGAAGGGTGTGGGTGGGAGGGAGGGGGCTCGGTGAGAAGGGGCTTAAGGTTCATTATTGCCAAGACTTACATTTAATAGCAATTTACAACCGAGTTGATAAACCCTGGAAAATAGGGGGTTTAGAATGAGGAAAGCTGACAGGGCCCTTCACTCTACAGTGGCTCTTGCGGGCGCCTCTGTAATAAAGACTAGAAAGGGAGCCATTGAGGCCTGATTGGCAACTGATAGTGCGCTAAATGGTAATGAGAAGGGCAGATGGAGGGGAGATTAAGCCTCCAACTCTCAACAGCTTTTCTTTGTGGGCCCCACAGCCTCCTTGTCAGCTTCCTAATACATTTATTGCTCATTTCACACTGCTAAAGAAAATGCCTCTTTCTATTCAGACCTGACCCCCCCCTTCCCACCCAGCGCCTTTAAAAGAAAAAAAAAAAGTGTAATAATTAATTCATGGAGCCCTCGGCCCTCACCGCAGCCTGCCAGGGACTGGCCTGCCATGGGCTCCCATTCGCTCTTGTCAAGCACATCACTAGAAGCATGTGTTGGGTTTGTCTGCAGAATAGACACTGCAGAGGCTGTGTGTGTGTGTACACACCCACACCTCCATCACTCCCCTCCCCAACCCACACACACACACACACACACACACAGCCCCCTTCTTTGGCTGCTGGGTCGTTTGTCAGGCCCTGCCTCAGCGGCTGGTGGGACAGAAGGTGCTGTGGCATAAGACAATAGCGGAGCGTGAAATTCAATTAGTTAAGGGCCTGGTTGCAATTTCACAGCCCTAAAAAAGAGGGAGGACAGAAGGAGGGGGGAGCATTTTTATGGCCTTTTTTATTTATTTCTCCTTTCTCCTGAGGGCTTTCCCCCCTCAGTGCGGCAGCTTGGACATGCCTTTTTAAGAAGTTATTTAGAGTTCATATCTGTCACATCTATTTAACGTACGCTGGGTGATGTTAAGAGGGGTGCTTGACATTAAAAAGCTGATTCTGCTCCTTCTCCCACTCCTGTCCCTTCTGTGAGTGTCTCTCTTGCTCCACAGGTGTCCCGGTGAAGGTCACAAACATGAAAGATGGGGTAACTCACCAGTCCTCTCTGGAGCTGTTTGTTTACCTGAATGAAATTGCGTAAGTGTTGTACGCTCGTGCCATATCTTGCACTCTCATCTTCTGGATAGAGTTGCTATTGACATGCATGCGCATGCTGTGAGGGCCGTGCAAGGACGCACGCGCGCGTGCACATGCACACACTTACTTACAGAAGCAGTTCTGGCCCCCCAGCGAGAGGTACTCAAGATCGATAATGGGGTGCACAGGATAGGGGTCCAGCAAATAACAGATGGCATCTGTGGGTTTTGGGCCAGTTGTGGACTATTTTAGGTGCAACTTTTTATTTGAAAAACAGAGTTGATAGAAGTTTGTGGGGAAGGGAGCATGGTCTAGTGCTGTGGTCCCCAAACTTTTCAGGATCGCGCGCCCCCTTTACTCCTGTCTGCACCTCACCCCTGGAGCCAGGGCTAAGGGCAAAGGCAAAGGCTGGGCCAGAGCTGAAGGCAGATCTGGGGCTGAGAGCCATGGCCAGAGGCAGGGGCTGAAGTGGGGTGCGAAGCAGCTGCTGGGCTGTGGTCAGGGGCCAGCAGTGAGGGGTTGGGTCAAAGGCCGGGAGTTGGGGTTGCCGCTGGGAGTAGAGCAGTGCTGGGTGGCTTTTCCTCCCTGTGCCCCCGTGGAACTGTGGTGGGGGGTTCCCCCTCCATCAGTAGTCGTCGAGTCCCTGAAACAGGCTATTCTTCCAGCCATGGAGAACAGAGCTACATTCCACCTTCACAGGGCTTCCAGGGCCATTTACTGCTTAACTGGGGGGCCGGATGACAGGGGTGCTGCCGGCGCAAGGTGGGGAGGAGGGACGGCTCTGCTCTCCCAGAAGGGGTGGGGCTGGGGCAGCCAGCCCCCAGAGCACTCAGACCATCTGCCCTGAAACAGGCTATTCTTCCAGCCATGGAGAACAGAGCTACATTCCACCTTCACAGGGCTTCCAGGGCCATTTACTGCTTAACTGGGGGGCCGGATGACAGGGGTGCTGCCGGCGCAAGGTGGGGAGGAGGGACGGCTCTGCTCTCCCAGAAGGGGTGGGGCTGGGGCAGCCAGCCCCCAGAGCACTCAGACCATCTGCCCTCCACCCCCTGCCCTCAGAGCCTCCCCACGGCACTCGGGAGGTGATTTAAAGGGCCTCCGCTGCAGCCCCTCCCTCCCCCCAAACCTTGCCCTGGGGCCCGTTTGGCCTGCTGAGCACGGTGCTTCCCTGGGTACACCTTGAAAATGAGAGAGGTCCCTCTGCCCCTCCCCCCCCTCCCCCGCCGGTACCTTCCACACGGCTCTGTGTTCCACGGCGTCTCAAAGGGTTGTGGTCCCGTCTTTGGCTCAGAAGTAGGCAGGCCCCAGGGGAACCATTCATCCGTCCCTTTGCCAAGTGCCACACAGACGCCCCCATCCCGCTCCTCCTTTGTGCCCCTGCCTTTATCCCCCTGCAGATGAATGCGAATGAACTTTTCCATGTAGTTCTCTTTTTAAATGTTAATTAAGTGGTTTTAAAATGACTCCACCACGGGCGAATGCAGCGCAGCCTCCCCCTCTCCCCTTCTCTCACCGGTGTGCTGTGTTTGTCTCGTGGCCTGCTGTGCCACGGTTACTCGGGGATCTCCTGGCCCAAGGGGTAAGCGGGAAGATGAAAGGAGGATTTACACTGGCAATGAGGCTCAGCTTATGGGGGGAAGGGCTTCTACATTTCCCTCTCTGGCCAAGCAGCAAAGGTGCAGAGGGGAGGATTCTCAATAATGGATCATATCCCAGCTGTCCCCAGCGGACGGTGAGGCAACGTGACTCCTGACACAGCCTGCTGGTGGGAAGAGAAAGCTCCCAGGGAAAGGCAGAGCCCAGGTACGCTGTACAGAGGCTTCCGCTGCTGCTCCCACTGGCTCACGCCTCTTCCCCTGCGCCCCTCACACACACACACCTGCCAAGACCCCAGCCAGCTCCTGCACCCTCCCTCCTGGCCAGACCCTCTGCACCCAGCAGGGCCAACGGTCCCCAGGGTAAGGTTCGGGGGGGGGGAGGCTCCACACCCCCAGAAGGAGGGCTGAGGCTAGTCAGTCCTTAGCACTGCCCGGGCTTTGATGGCTTCAGCACATATACTCCACAGCCAGACATGCTGGCCTGGAGCCTCAAAGGCATTTAGGTGCCTAACTCCTAACTATCTAAACACTTCCGAGGGCCTGGGCCAGCGTAGGTCTGTGGTGGTGCTAGTCTCTGCTCTCATTCTGCTCTGCGGGGCAGGGAGGGGAGAGGAATGCCATCACCCACTCTCCTCACCTCTGCTTTGGGCTCGCCCTGCTGGGCCTGGTGCTCCCCTGAGGTAGGTCACTGTGCAGCAAAGTCCAAATTAAACTCCAGGCTCTCGAGGTGCCTTGTGAGCCACGCTCTCAGGGCCTGGAGGGAGGCTGCGGGCATAGGGACCACTCTCTTAAGTTATAACCTGGAGATGTCATTTCCCTGTGGTGCCAGAGAAGAAACAGGGCTGTAATGGCTGCAAAGGGGACTTTTTACGGAGGCTGCTGGACGGAGCAGAGCACGGCTCTTTTGGGCTCTCTAGCTCCCACGCTGACTAACAGTCCTGGCCTGGGCTAGGCAGCACTCCTATTGGCTGGTGACTGCCCTCCAGGTGCTGACCATAACTGGGGGCACGCCCTGGGTGATTTGAGCCCTGGACAGTTGAGCTTTCGTGTGACGAAGCTACGAGGCGGGGTAGGCAATAGAGGAGGGGGCTGTTCTATTTCAAGTCACCTCAGGGGTTGTGCTGGAAACTCTCCCTTAGAATTGTAGACATGTAGGGCTGAACGGGACCACGAGGTCCTCCTGCCAGTCCAGCTCCTGTGCTGAGGCAGGGGCAGGCAGCACTGCTATAGGCTGGTGACTGCCCTCCAGGTGCTGACCATAACTGGGGGCACGCCCTGGGTGATTTGAGCCCTGGACAGTTGAGCTTTCGTGTGATGAAGCTACGAGGCGGGGTAGGCAATAGAGGAGGGGGCTGTTCTATTTCAAGTCACCTCAGGGGTTGTGCTGGAAACTCTCCCTTAGAATTGTAGACATGTAGGGCTGAACGGGACCACGAGGTCCTCCTGCCAGTCCAGCTCCTGTGCTGAGGCAGGGCCAAGTAAACTTAGACCAGTGGTTCCCAACCTGTGGTGTGATGAAGCTACGAGGCGGGGTAGGCAATAGAGGAGGGGGCTGTTCTATTTCAAGTCACCTCAGGGGTTGTGCTGGAAACTCTCCCTTAGAATTGTAGACATGTAGGGCTGAACGGGACCACGAGGTCCTCCTGCCAGTCCAGCTCCTGTGCTGAGGCAGGGCCAAGTAAACTTAGACCAGTGGTTCCCAACCTGTGGGCCTGGCCCCTGGTGGTCTGTGATAGCACTGCAGGGGGTCTATGGGGCCCAATCCTTACCTTTCTTTTTCTTTCCTTACTTTTCCTTTTCTCTTTTTTTTCCTCCCCCAGGAAGGGGAGGGGGGCAAGAAATTTTAATAGATTGAAAAGGGGTCTGTATGCTCGGAAAGGTAGGGAACCACCGACTTAGACCGTACCTGAGAGACGTGTATCCAACTTGTCCTTAAATATCTCTAATGAATGGGATTCCACACCTTCCCTTGAAAGCCTATTCCAGAGCATAACTAACTGTAGAGGCGGAAGGGGTTTCCTATATCTCTCCTAAATCTCTCATGCAGCAGATTTAAGCCCATTGCTTCTTCAGTGGGCATGGAGAACAAAGCTGATTACCAGCGTTCCCTGTAAGCTGAGCGTTTGGGTGGTCACCCAGGAGAGAGTCAAATGCCGCTCAGCTGATTAGCACAGCACCCACTGCCGGCACCATGTGTTTATACTAGTGGTGCACATCCACATGTGCCTTGGTGCACATAACAAAATTTATTCTGCATACAGAAAAAATGAGAGAACACACTACTGATCACCATCCTATTTGTAACAGTCCCTAACATATTTGACTACTGTTATTAGGTGCCCCCTTCAGTCTTCTTTTCTCAAGACCAAACCTGCTCATTTTTAACAAATCTTTCCTCATAGGTCAGGTATTCTAAACTTTTTATCATGTTTGTTTGCTATTCTTTGGACTCTCTCTAATTTATCCACCTCGTCCCTGAGGTGTGGCACCCAGAAATGGACACTGCACTCCAGCTAAGGCCTCATCAGTGTGGAAAAAAGTGTGACGATTACTTCCTGTCTTACATAGACACTCCTGCTAAAACACCCCAGAATGATACTAACCCTTTTCTCAGCAGAGTCACACCATTGACTTGTATTCAGTTTGTGATCCACCATAGCTCCCTGATCCTTTTCAGCAGTACTACCCCAGCCGGTTATTTTTCGATTTGGTAGGTTATTATTATTGTTATTTTCCTTCCTAAGTGTAGTATTTTACATTTGTTTTTATTGAATTTCATCTTACTGATTTCAGACCAATTCACCAGTTTGACGAGAATTCTAATCTTGTTCTCCAAAGTGCTTGCCCATCTGGGTGTCATCTGCAAATACTTACTATGAACACGCTTCCCCTCTCCAATGTAAAGTCCTCAATGAAAATCTTGAATAGTACCAGATCCGGGACTGAACCATGCAGGAACCAAATACATTCGGCCTCCCAGCTTGACAGTGAACTATTGATCACTACTCTTTGAGCGTTGTCTTTCCACTAGTGGAGCTCCCACATGATAGTAACTTCACCTGGATCATGTTTTCCTACTTTGCTAATGGACTCTCATGTGGGACTGTATTAAAAGCCGTTATGAAAATGAAGATATAGCCCATCTACTAGGGTGGTAGCCCTGTCTCGGGGGGCCATATCAAAAGGGCTTGGGTATCACAGTGTTGGCCACAGCAGAGATCCCCAGCCACAACTTCCCATAAAGCCAGTAACCTCAATGGGAGTTAGATTGAGCCCTCCTCGCGCAGAGACCGGAAGGGGCCGATTCCAGCCAGCTGACCTCCCTGTGGCTTGTGCACCCCCTGGCAACTTGTGACCCCTGTTTTACCTTTCCTGTCCTTTCTTTCCACAGAGGCAAGCACGGCGTGGGGCGCATAGACATTGTGGAGAATCGGTTCATCGGCATGAAGTCCAGAGGTGAGAGGCGCCTCCCGGGGGCAACTCCCTGCCATTCCCCAGCCCCAATAGCCCTAAGAACCTCACGCTCTAAAAAGAAGAGCTGGCTCCTCTTCACTACTCCGCAGTGCTTGGGAAGAGTGCAGGATCAGGGCTTATGAATCCGTATGGATGAAATCCTGTCCCCACTGAATGAATGAAGGGGAGTTTGGCCATTGATTCAACAGAGGCAGGATTCCACCCTATGAGTGCGTTCCTCCAGCTTGCTCATGTAGGCGAGCATGTGGTCATCAAGGATTGCCTTTGCTATCTAAAATAGCCTCTCTTAATAGTAACCATTGCCCGTTGGATTACAGGGCCCTGTGGCTTCATTTGGGGCCCAGTCCCCACAGGATTGGGGTCTGTGATTGCAAGGGTTTTCTGGGTGCTGTGTGCGAGAGAGTTCCTTGATTTGACCAGAGGCACTTCCTCCCACCTAAATAAGCATGCCTCTTCTAAAACCTCCCTTTCTTTTCCTGAGAACCTTGGAGTCTAGAAATAATATTTAATTTTTAAGGACTTTTAACTTTCCTCTTCAGTATAGAATGTTGCAAACTCCAAGAAACTTCCTTCTAGTATCCTGTGCTAAATAAACCAAGAGGGGGAATGGAAAATATCTAAACCACTATTTGTTATCAGTGGACAAATGTAAAAGTTTTGTCAGGGAGGGGGACTCCGTGTTGCCAACTCTCATCCCAAGTTCTCACAATATTTAGCATTTTCCAAGCCCCAGCTCCTGGAATCAGGGGGACTGTGTTAGCGTCTCGGCTTTCACTGAAAAATGTGAGTTTCTAGCCCTGAAGATTGCAGGGATAAGCTTGGAAACATGACCTCTAAAGGCCCGCAATTCAGAAGGCAAATAAAAAGAACCCAAAATGTTTTTTAAATCTCATGATTTGTAAGCCAACTCCTTGCTATTTTTATGTATTTATTTTGGAAGATCTGACTCTTAAACTCCTGGGGTTGTCAGTGAGAAACAATTTAATTGAAACTTTCCGGGAGCAAGAACTGCCTCCTTCAGAGCTGAATAGCAGTATAGTTAGAGAGCTTCTCCATTTCATCCTTTTCCCTTGTGTTTTAACACTCATTAATATCTATTTATGCGCTCCCTTTATTTAAACCTGTCCTAGGTGGCAAGGCAGGGGCTAATATTATGATAGTGTTTCATAAAACCCATCTCAGTCTTCCTTCAGATCAACACCGGAGGGAATTATTTACAAGTGCATTAGCAAGTCCTGCTGCAAGCGGCCAATCCTCCCCCCTCAGATTGATTTTAGTTAGTGCAATTGAATTAAAAAAAAAACCCAGCTCTTTGTATGTGATTCTCAGAACACTGAGTCATTTGTCAAGTTCTTTTTTATTTTAAAGAACCACTGATGTGCTCCAGTGACCCTTGCAGTATTCAATAATTCCCCTAAACCCCATTTAACTGTCATATCCGTTTTCTGCGTGTCGTCGCTGAGTGATTACCAATGTGTTTGGGTGTAAGCAGGAGAGTTTTCCTTTTCAGTCAGCCTCCTGTACACTAGGGCTACAATCCCATCTTCATGACATTAGAAGTTGCTGTGATGCTGCAAACCCCCCTGCAGCATTGCTGACCATGCAAAACATTGAAGGATATGTTTATTACTCTTCATTATTTAGATTATCACAGCACTTAGTAGCCTTACTCCTGGGCCAGGACTCCATTCTGTGTCCATCTTTATTTAGCAAAGTATTTATGTGCATGCTTAGTCTCACCGACATCAGCTGAATTTAAGGCAAGTCTACACTACAAAACTGCATCAACCTAAGTTACACTGGTGTACAGCCACCGCAGCCATTAAATCACTTTAGCATGTCCATGTGAGGCTCCTCATGTCAGCGGTGTGTGTCCACACTGGCAGCACTTAGTATCTATTTGTACTGTGGGCATGGGGCATTGTGGGACAGCTTCTGAAACACAGCAATAGTTGATGTAAGCAACACCGTGTCTGCACAGAATCTAACTACTTCGACTTAACTTCTGTGCCTCTTGTGGAGGTGGAGTTAGTGTAGGAGGTGTAGTCTGCTAAGAATCTCTGATTGGATTGGTGAGCCTTGCCCACCTAAATTCCACCACAATTCCTACTCAGGCTACAGGGGCAAGTCACATCAGTGAGAGCAACATTTTAGTGTAAATTCTTACAGAGTTAGGTCAGTGTAAACCACCTTATGTCAGCCTCACTCCATAGTGAAGATCAGGCCTCAAACTCATGCTGAGCTGCTTTGCTAAATCAGGCCTGGTTATAGCCCAGTTTTTTACTGGCATAACCTCATCAGCTAGGGATGTGCATTTTTCCCCAATATATTTACACCAGTAACAACTAACATGGTGTAAAGATGCTTTAAACCAGTAAACTTACTTCCCTTCCTAGGCCGGAAATAGCGCCACACGTCTAGAGGTATGTCCACGTTGTAGTGCTATTTCAGGATTTATCTGGTGTCTCAAAGTAGCTATTCTGCATCTTGACAGCGTGCCCATTATTTCGAAATATCTTTTGAAATAACGGGTGCTATTCCGACATCCCTGCGGACCTTGTTCCATAAGGATTAAGAGTAGTTTCGGAATAGCGGTTTATTAAAAGCATTTTGGGGTCAGCCTAAATGATTCATGAACTTGGCCTGAATTTTGGTAAATAGCTTTGGGTGGAAAAAATATCTTTTTGAGTTTAGAAATTTAAGAGGTTTTTGTTTTTATAAGGAGGAAAATTAGAGGGGGGGGGTTGTGTTGGTTTGAATGAAACATTTTGTTCTACTCCGATTTTTTTGTTTCTAATAATCATTCAGCTCCCGCTACAACCACTCCTTGTGGATTCAGGTGTATTGATATAGCTATTCCAAGAAGGGCTGGGGAATAAGCGCTATTGGTAAAGACCCCTTTATGAAGTCATACTGCGGGTTGTGCAGTGTAACTTTTTTACTAGAAAATCGCATCCCTAGCTGAAACAGTCTAATGACAACAAAAAGGTTGCTCAGACCTTGGTGATCATGGGACGCAGCCTTGGGGACTCATCACAGCAATTCTTCTATGGGACAACGGCAGGGAGAGAATTAGTGAAGCTGATGGAAATGTTGATGGGGAGGAAAAAACAAGGAAAGGAGGGTATGTCTACACTACCACCCTAGTTCGAACTAGCGGGGTAATGTAGGCATACTGCACTTGCAAATTAAGCCCGGGATTTGAATTTCCCGGGCTTCATTTGCATAAGCCGGCCGGCGCCATTTTTAAATGCCGGCTTGTTCGAACCCTGTGCCGCGCGGCTACACGCAGCACGGGCTAGATAGTTCGAACTAGGTAGTTATTCCGAACTATCTGTACACCTCGTGGAGCCGGCTTTATGCTAATGAAGCCCGGGAAATTCAAATCCCGGGCTTCATTAGCAAGTGCGGTATGCATACATTACCCCGCTAGTTCGAACTAGCGGGGTAGTGTAGACATACCCTGACAGAATGAGGAGTGAGCAAACATTTAAAATGATGACACATATGTAGACAAAAAATTATTTAAAAAAAATGCACTGAAAACCTTTTGTCCAAAATGTGGGGCAAAAGCTTATGCAAATGAAGCCCGGGAAATTCAAATCCCGGGCTTCATTTGCAAGAGCGGTATGCCTACATTACCACCCTAGTTCGAACTAGGGTGGTAGTGTAGACATACCCGGAGAGTGTTGATGAATTCCACCTATCCCATCCATGTGTCACAGTCTCAAGAGATTATTGGAATTTTTTAATGTCAATTTCAAGTGTTGATGGGGAGGTGGAGGGAAATGTCATTGCCATTTTCCCCTGTTCTTTCTCATGCAGCAGTTACTAATTAGAAAGCAATTACTAGTTGGTTATTTTAGCATTGTGACAGGACAGGTGCTTCCCAGGCTCTCTGGAAGGAATGGTCGCCATTCCAAAGAGCTTCTGGCCTAAGGACAGTCAGACACAGCAGGAGAGAAGGGGCAACAAATGGGGCATTCGTTTTAGAAGAAGCGGGACAAGTTCTGAAGGAAGCAGGTGCCAGGAACCTGTGAACCTAGGCCTGAGTAGCAGCTATTCCATAGCTAAGCTCAGCCATGCATGCAGGCCTTCGGTATGAACAGGAGAACACAGAGCCATCTTTACCCAGCTGGCCCTTCAACAGTTTCTTAATTAAACCTTTCTGGGCTTCTGTGCAATGAAGTTGTGGCCCGGTCCTTGTGATATAAGTGCCAGATGGCGATATCAGGGCCCCTAGATTTGTACGATTACTGAGGACACGGGAGAGGAGGATGTGGGTGACTGGGAGGGAGCGTCTCTTTAGCCTCCAGTGTCTTGGTGACTGATCACGGTAGGAGAAGGAACCGGAGAGATGGGAACAAGCAGTTGAGTCACTCTGAAAATCTATTTTAACCATGCCCAAGAGTGCCAGGTGCTCTGGACTGGGGCACCCAACTTGTGCCCAAGTGCGAGTGAGGCTGGCAGCTTCTGGTCCGTGCAGGGGGTGAAATCCTGGCTCTGTTGGAGCCCATCGCAAAGCTCCCATTGGTTTCAGTGGGGCTAGGATTTCACCCCAGGATTTCTGCAAGCAGCCACGTCCCTCCTATTTTCATATGTAGGGACAAGTGGCCTATGGGAGCTACACGTCCCAATAGTCCTTTCTCCTCCTTTGTCCAAGTGAAGCAGGGTTAGCTCTAGCTCGTGGCAGCTGGTTTAGATCTTGGCTCAGCAATGAGGGACGTGGCTGGACGCCTATGCCTGGGCAAAGCCCTATGACTTCATTGGGGCTCCTCATGAGCCCGTGACTTTCTTTGCAGGATCCAGGGCCTTACTGCAGTGACTGGGGCAAGTGGAGCTCAGATAGAAAATTGTATGCTAGCCTCCACAGGCTCCAGGGATGCATCAAAGACAAGACCACCATGGGCTGAGTTATGAAATTCATCCCACAGACCCATGGCAGGTTTGCCTCCTTCCCCTATCAGCCATCACACAGTGGCCCCTTTAGGGGAGATGGAAGGGGGGGACACGGTTGCAGGAATTCTAACGCCCATCCCAGTGAGCGATCCGGGGAAGGCAGGAAGGTCATTTTCAGTTGCACTGATTTTTACAAAGCCTCTCCTGAGATGACATTAAGGGACTTGGGGAGAGGGCGAGCAGGCCCCAGCCTCATGAGCCTGGTTTCCCCGAACTGCTGGTATTTGTTTTTGCGGGAGGATGGTGGCTAATTCCTAGTGCTTCGAGCACCCGTGCTTGCGGCGCTGCGCCTGCCTGCCGGCGACAATGAGGCTGAAACAGCGAAGCGCCATGGTGGCTCAATAGGGAAGGCTGCAAATGGGAGTCGTTTCCCTGCCTCGTGCGGCTTTTCACGGCCTCATTATCAAATTATCTTTTTAACTCTGAAGGGGGGCTAATTAGGGAAGTAAATGAAATCGGTGGGGAGGAAGCGGGAGGGGAGTGGCTGGTCGGGCTTCTGCCTGTGCCAAAAGAGCCGAGCGTTTTGTTTCCTCCTTGCCTGAATGCAGGCCTGCCCAAGCCCCTAGCTCGACAGACAGGATGGCTAGTCCTTCCCACTACTTGCTGCCCTGAGCCTCCCCTGCTCCTGTCAACTCACCACCTTGGTCCAGGCCACTGGGCCTGCATCGACCTTGTCTGGGAGATGTCCCTGCAGTTGCAGTATAGCCGTACTTACAGGCTATTTTGTCTGCTGGCCTGGCCCCACCAGGGCAGCCTGGCATTGCCACAGTTAACATAGCAACTTGACGGAGTCCATTGTCCTGGGGTGGGGATGGTGCTTTGGGACTAGAGCTAGGCATGGTCTGTCCCTCAGCCCAGATTGTAATGCCCACGTTGGGGGGATTGCACAGTGAGAGATGGACTTTGTAGCTCAGCCCCATACCTGCTTGGGAAGCGCTTGGCCAGCGAGAGCCCCAAATGTCAGTTTCAGCCCTCTCTCCCTTGTTCCCCTGCCACCAGGTGTGGTCTCCTCCTTGCTGTGGCCCCAGCTGTCCTAGGCACGCCACAGTAACAAGTAAATGCCACGCCCTGCCCCAAAGAACTTACGGTCAAACCTCCAGGTCTGCCGTCTGTATGGGCTTGTGCACCGCCCACGGGACAGGGCAGCGGGGTGTTCACTTTCAATATTTTTGGGCCCCCTTCGGCAGGAGCTGGCATGGAATGTGAGCACATTGATCCCGGTGGAAATTGACAGATCGCAGTCAATACGACTAAATGGTTCAGTTCACCGTAAACTGACAGCAGAGGTTACAAATTAGAAAATTTTAAGCAGCAGCTGCCTCTGTTCCTTCTCCCTTCTTCCCGTCCACTTCCCCTCCCCGTCCCTTTTCTCAGCAGTAATTATGGTGTGATTGAAGCGAATGTGAGCACATTGATCCCGGTGGAAATTGACAGATCGCAGTCAATACGACTAAATGGTTCAGTTCACCGTAAACTGACAGCAGAGGTTACAAATTAGAAAATTTTAAGCAGCAGCTGCCTCTGTTCCTTCTCCCTTCTTCCCGTCCACTTCCCCTCCCCGTCCCTTTTCTCAGCAGTAATTATGGTGTGATTGAAGCGCCACCAGGCTGCACCGCTGACACCTCTGTCTTTTCCCTGTAAACACGGGGAGATGAAAATAGACACTTGGAGACGCTGTGAGTGTCACTTTGAAGGTGTCTCTTGTCTCCTCCATTGCAGTGCTGGGAGCTCGGCTGTCACTTCCCTCCCCTCCTTGCGCAGTGGTTCGTACGCCGACTGTCAAAGGCACCCGGAGCCGCAGTCTTTTAGCATCAGGTTTCTGTCACAAATCAAATAAAAATAATAAAGAAACAGACAGACACAGCTCATCTGCTCTGAGTCCCCTGCTGTTAGCGGAGGGGAAATGGGGGGGGGGGGGGGAAAGCGAACCAAAAACAAAGGTTT